TATCTATCTATCTATCTATCTATCTATCTATCTATCTATCTATCTATGTCTCTTTTTTCTTTCTCTTTTCTCTCTTTATCGCTCCCTCTTTTCTCTCTCTTTTCTCTCTTTTTCACTCTCTACTTTCTCATTCTGTTTTCTCTCTCTCTTTTCTCTTTCTTCACTCTCTCTCTCTTTTCTCTTTTTTCTCTTTCTCGCTCTCTACTTTCTCTCTTTCTCTCTCTCTCCCTGGTGGCGCCTTTTCTACACCAAACCTATCATCACTGGGATAGGTGGGTGAGTGGGGGGGGGGGGGTATTGTTTTTTTTTTAAATTTGCATTTATTAATGGGTTTTTTTCCCCTTAATTCTCTACTGAGCTGAGAGCGAGTGGGCTATATACATTTTCTACGTAAATCAACCACGAGTGATTTAATCTGCCCTGCAGCTCAACTCCCAGAATTCCCTCGGAGCCACCACGCTGGCTGGGGAATTCTGGGGTGCTCAATGCAGGAGAAGGCAGCTGTGGCCTTGGGACAAATCCCAAGGGTGCTTGTCATGCTCCCATGGGGTCCCTGTTCCTTTAGGTGGGCTTAAAGAGGATCGGTGTGAACCCCACGGCCGAAAGAGGAGAGACCCCAGTTCAAATTCTGGGCGCAAGCGGATCCAGCTGGCTCACCTTGAAATATTGGAGCGTGGAGGAGCCTCCCATGGTCCCAAACTCCAGCTTCCTTTGCTTCACCAGGTCCTCGAAGTCCTGGATGGAGATGTGGTCCGTGGCCGACTCCAAAGCGAAGCTGAAGCTGGCGATGTAGGCCGCCAGCACCACGATGCCAAACAGCCACCAGATGGCAGAGATGACCCGTACGGAAAGCGACCTGGGCTGAGGAATGGTGCCTGCGTGGGACGAGGGAGAGAGAGAGAGAGAGAGGAATTCAGAGCCATTTTGGGTGCCTGGGGAAAAAAAAAAAAAAAAGCCAAAGGGGCCGAGACATTAGGAACTAACTTCAGGCTGCAGAGATAAGGGTCACAGCTGGGTTGTTTTCCTGCAGACGTTTCAGGACCCAACTAGGTAACATCATCAGTGGTAGTGATGATGTTACCTAATTTGGGTCATGAAATGTTTGCAAGAAAACCCACCAAGCTAAGAGATCACCAGGGACCCCACAGTTCTCCTCCTCTTCCTCCCCTTTTCTGAAAAAGAGCATGGGTCACTTTCCCCCCCCCCCCCCCAGTGCTTTTCCAATTAACTCGGAACGGTCACTGAATGAACTCTTGTAAGTTGAGGACTACTTTTGGGGGGTGACTCTTTCCTCAAACTTTGCACCCAAAATACAGAAAATTGTCCAACTCCACCGAGAGTCCCACGTGAATCCTTTGCTGCTTCGATAAGAGAGGGGAAAAAAAACATTCGCCGCCATTTGTACGAACTGTCGCAATTAGTTTGATTGATTGATTGATTTTCTCCCATCCCATCATATCCCCCCCCCAAGACCTCACACAACTAGCAGGGCCTTAAAAGGTTCCCACAAGACCCACAAGGCACAACTCCTGGTTGCTTCCCCCTCTTTGGGATCTCCTAGTGGTCTCCTTTTCCAGGTCCAAAAACAGCTCTGGTTAGTTTTTTTGGAGGTCAGCTGAGGCTGGCTAGCCAGCTGCCCTCGATTGGGCCAAAATGAGCAATAATTCAGATATTGGCCAGTCACGGTCTCCAATTTGGGGGCCTACCTTGCAGGGTGAGCGCTCCGGCACCAAACCAGAGGCTGTTCAGGAAGGTGAAGTTATTCTCTTGGTTTCCATTCCATTCCGAAGGGCTCATTCTACAAAGAAACACAGTAAAGACCTTCATGCTTTCTGCTGGAAGCAGGCGGTTATAGCTCTGGGGTCCCCCAAGCTGAGCCCTTTGTACATGCTCAGGAAAACAGTTTAGACCGAGGCACAAACAACCCAAGACAGGGTGATCTTCCATGCTGCTGCCTTGCCAGGCTTAAAACAGTGGGGTTTTTTTTTCTTCCTTTTCTGCAATTTATTTATTTATTTTTATTCAATTTTATCAATATTCGCATTGATCTATACATTAAATGATTGTATTTTCATTCCAATTGCATTTTAAATCATAATTCCATCTTAAAACTGTATTTTATCAAACCTCCGTTTTAAATTGTTCTTAATCAGATTTTAGTCATGATTTGCATCTGGACGTTGCACGTTGATGTGGCCCAAGGGCTAATCAATGAAATAAACTCCGCACTGGCGACAGGGATGGCATCCGGCCGGTAAACACTATTCATGTTACAATTCTACCAATCCCGCAGCCCCAGGCTTTCCTGGTGGTGTCCTGTCCCAAGTGGTTCCAATCCCACCAAGATCTGCTACTATCTAACGGATGTCAGCTGGCTTATTACTAGAACTATGTAGCGATGGAGAAGGCATTTAGGGGAATGTTACATGTGGAAATTATATATATTGTGAGTTACACCTGAGAAAATGAAGAACAGAAGAGATTCCATGTATATCTGATATGTGACCTTTTAAAATGATTACTGGACAGTTATATAACTATATCTAATAAACATGTGCTGTTTTGTAACTTATGTTCTAAAGTAAATGTCAGGTTTTGGCTGGAACATGGGGGTTGTATTTCTTGGCGCTAGGATATATGTGGGAGATACTGGGCCATAGTGACCCGAACGGAACTGCTAAATGATCCATTGTGCTTTGATGGACGTAGCAGGAAGACATAGCAATGAGAACAAGGGTTGTTTCCAAAGACAAGGAAACAGGTGTTACGCCATGGGTGTTGCACAGGGAGATACATAGCTTGAATAGATTGTGAACCCACGAAAGGGGCAGAGACTGTATATTTGAACCTGTATATAAACCCCAGCCCTCCTGGGGGAAAATGTCTTCTGCCATGAGCAGAATTCCCTTTTGCAAAAGCTGAATAATAAAGCTCTTGTTCCCTGTCTCCAGTTGTTTTTGTGATTATTATCACAGGGAACCAGCCCAGGTGGCTTCGAAATCGCCTCTTTTTCAGCCAAGAGGGAGGCAGGCGGTCGTTACTCACTGTTAGGAATAACATTGGTTACCTAACTTAGTTTGGGTAAAATAATATATATAAACTATGTTAGTGAGTTTAAGTGTGTGTATCACTTTAACTGTAAAACATGTATTTTGGGTGCGGTTGCAAAATCACCATAAGAGGGAGCAAGAGAGCTCACTGTTTTCTGGCTTTTACTGGATTGCTGACAATGATGGATTGATGGTGTTTTCCCTGCTATTGCTGAGAGAAGAAAAGAGGTTTGATTTTCTTCATATCTCTAACTGCAAAAGAGATATATTACTGGACTGATTATTTGTAAGTTTACTGACCTCTTTTTCGACACTGGACTTTGCAACTGATTAATACCCGGATGGACTGAACTAGTGTATGATATATGGACTGTTTGACTATGCTATAACTCTGACTGGAATAAAAACTATTTAACTGGCACAGTATATCTGTTTTACTGAGTGTAAGCTACAACAATGTTTATCTCACATATCTGCCTGCCTGACTAACTGCCGTTGCACGTTCTGCTAGGGTGTATATCCCTAACACTCACCTTCCAGCCAGGAACAGACACAAACTGGAGAGCAGGTAAGCCAGGAAGATGCCGGCCCAGGTCTCCTTGGTGAAGGGGGTCAGGAAGTGGAAGAGGGAGGTTTCCTCCAGGGCTGCTTCCTTCTGAAGCAGGATGCCAATGCCGGTGTGCAGGAACGGCTGGGTGAAGTCCACCACGTCTTCTCTGACCGACGTGATGGTCAAGGAGGCCACGGCCAGGTCAGCTTCCTGGGAGAAGAAGAAGGGAGGGCGGGGGTTGAGGGGCGGGGGGCATCCTGGGAGTTCGATCCTAGATAAGAGGCAGATATTTCTCTCTCTCCGGGCACGATGAGAATAGATCTGCTGCAGAACTCTGCCCTGGCGACAGGAAAGGCATCCAGCCAGTAAAGACTCGGCTCCATTCAGTTGCCCAGGCTCCGCCCCGATGCGAGGGATGACGGGCGGGCAGGGGTGGGATTCAACCGGTGTTACTACCGGTTTTGGTTATTGCGTTTCGCGCGCGCGTGCAGTTTGACGAGCACCCCTTCCAGAAAGACCTCACCTTCCTCACCACTTCTCCGATCATCCCCGTCCAGCTCCCGTTGGGACCGAGAGTCCCATACTTCCCGTCCTTCACAATGCTGACTTTGTACTTGAAATGAAGCATTTCCGACAGCTTCTCCAGCAGGTCGATGCAGTAGCCTTCTAACTCGGGACCCTTGACCATCACGTAGGGGTCTTCCTAGGATGGGGCGGGGAGGGGGGAGGTCAGAGCAAGGGAAATATTTCTTCCTGACCAGCCTCTCAGGGTTCCAAGGAATTATACCCGTAGCAAACAGAACTCCGAGGCGGGTAGATTCCTCCAACGACAATTTTATTGGAGATATTATATTGGCACAGGCTGGTGAAAACCAACTCTGAAGTTCCCTGCGGGGTTTCACCTCATTAAAAGTAAAAGCTTTCCCCCCCTTTTTCCAAACAATCAGTCACGTGGTCCAATCAAGGGGCTGCCTGGTTGCCTAGTAACATTGCTCCTCCTCTCTTTAGCCCCCTGTGGGAATGTCCTTGGTTCTCACGAGAAACTAATTTGCTTTGACCACAAAACCCCAGCTATCTCTATTCCCTCCTTCCCTATCCCTCATCCCCAGGGTGGCAACGCTGAAGCCTCCAAGATGGCCTCAGTCAGGCCAGCTTCAGAGTTGACCCAGCCCATCCCTGCCCCACCTTCAAGGATTTTATGAAATAATAACAGTAACAGTAACAATAACTATTATTATTATTATTCTATTCTATTTTATTTTTTAATTCATAAACTGCTGATTGGCTGGGTCTTCTTTGGTTGCCCTGCCGAGGAGAACGGAGCTGGAAAGCAGGTTACTGGGGTGGGGTAAGAAATGGGGGGATTTTGCAGTATCCTTCCGCTGCCAGGCCCACCAAGCCACACCCACCAAGCCACGCCATATCCACCAAGCCATGCCCACGGAACCAGTCGTAAAACATTTTGTATCCCACCACTGCAACCCCCCCCTCTTACCAGAATTGTTGTCACATAGATCATCGGTGCATCTTTGCCCCCTGCCCCGAGAGAGACGCTGTCCTGCGGACAGAAACATTTCGGGAAATTAGCCGTGTATATTAAAAAAAAAGAAAGACAATCACACACGCACAGTTCGGTATATGGACAAGAGTTGTGTTGGCATTTGCAATAATATTGCACCGTATAGGTTGGGGTGACCTACAAACGGTTCTATTTTTTCGGGAGGCGTTTTCCCTACGGAACTCTTGTGCAAAGGATGGGGGCTTCCGGGAATTTATTTCCAGCTGCGCGCTTATGGCTCAGGAAATGCACCTGGTCTCACCTCTGACCTCAACCCTGGAGCGTTCCGACTCCAGGAAAGGTCCTTTCGCACCCTGGATTGCCCCGACCCCAAGGCAAGACCCTCTCGCAATCCAGGTCCTGAGAAATTTCTCTGACTGAGAAAGAAAACATTAACAGAATGACAAAGTCGGGAGGGACCTTGGAGGTCTTCTAGTCCAACCCCCTGCCGAAGCAGGAAACCTTGCACCAGATAAAAGATTCTCCAATCAATTGCTTAATAACCAGAGATTATTAGCACATATCCAGCTTAACGCCACGGAGTCCTACCAATAGCTACAGCTACACATCAATTCAATATTTTGAGATTTCAATTCTTCTTGTTTTTAGACCAGAAACGGCTGGGAAAAGCTGAAATATTTACATCTATTTTATTTATTTCTTCAATTTCTATAGCGGCCCCAACTTGGTCAAGTCACTCAATGCGTGATGTCTTGCTGAGGGTTTGATAAAACCGTTCGTTCTTACTTCTCCCTCCTCTGACTAATTTGTGTCTTCAGGGGTGCATGTGTACACGTGTGTGTGTGTGTGTGTGTGTGTGCGTACATTGATTGTAGAAGCAGAGGCTTTTTTTTCTTCCCCACACTCCCATCCATCAGAAGATAACAGGCGTTGTCAGTACTTCGAGCAAAATGGATACTGACCTTGTGGCTGAAATCCCCTTCAGTGGCACCTGAAAAATACGGTAAGGAAGGAAATAATTTTGCTATAAATGGCTGCAGATTTACACCTTTTTTTTTTAACACAATTGGAAAGCAAAACGATATATTTCTAGAAACTTTTGAGGTGTTGTGGCCTGTTGGCCGCCGGCCCCTCCAGCAGCCAAATCAGAGGAGGAGGAGGAGGAGGAGGAGGAGGAGCGGTGGGAGTCAGGGTCAGCATCAAGGCAACCTGGGAACTCCGGGGGGGGAGAGGGAACAGAGCTGACAGAGACAGAGATGGAGCCTGGGCCGCCCATCAACCCTCAGATGGAGAGTCAATAGCCCCCAGGTCTGGAGGTGGCTGATGAAGTAGAAGAGGAACAGCTCGGTCCAGCGCCTGATGTACAGAAGGCAGAGGAGAGGAGAGCAGTGGAAATCTATGGGACGGTCCTTGGGACGGAAGAATCTAACCGCCGCTAGCAAAGCTCCACCCTAGCTCTCGGGATAAAAAGGAGGGGGCGGAGATGAATAGGTGCGGCAGACAACTCTTTATCTCCTGGATGGACGGACTTAGCCTGCGGTGAAACTTTTTGCCCTTAATAAAGGAATCACTGCTTCCACTACAGAGGGTCTGTCACGTTTGGGGAGCTGGGTCAGGACATGAGGTCAGCCTTTGAGGGAGACCCCGAGAAAAGTTGAGGGAAGACCATGCAGGACGTTCTCAAAACAAAAGAGGTTCCTCCTTCCCTGAACCGTCCTTCACCCTAGACGTTGAGGGAACATCCCTGCACCCAAATGGCCTCGGATTTTGCGGGTTCTCCTTGGCTGGGACTCTTTGACAATAAAAGCCTTCTCTTAGTCCAGGGAAATGGAACGGCCGGGTTGTGGAGAGCGGAAGTCCAAGGAGGACGTTCCAGAACTTCAGCCAGTGGAAATGCTTTTCTTTCTGGCTTTTTCCAACTCTGTTTATATACCTATATTGGGAGGGAAGGGAGGGAAGAAATGGCTATCCATTTTGCCTCTGCTGTCTCCAGCCAAATTATCTGGCTATAAAGGGCTTTTTTTTTCTTCTTCTCCTTCCAGCCCTGGTGCAGCTCTCCATGGGAGCTGGAGGGTGGCCCAAAGACGCCCCTTGTCTTCTTTTCAAAAACTGCCGTTCGAGCCAGCGGGACTTCCCTTGGCCTCCTTTTGGAAGGCCCTGGGCTTGGGCCGCTGGAAGGAAACAAGGAGGCCCATTGAAGATTTTGGCACCTCCAACGGCCAGCCTGGGACAGGAATTGTAAAAGATGCCTCCAAGGGCCGTTGGGGGGGGGGGGGGAACGGGACAAAACAAAACAACACACACACACACACACACACACAAACCTCAGGAGCGAAAAGATAAATAAAAAGGACCAGCTCTTGAAAAAAAAAAAGGGGGCCCATAAATAATCCGCAATGACAGCAGTCTGGGAGTTCTCCACGGGAGAAATTGTTCAGCATCCAAATCTGACACGGATTTTGGATTTATTGCGAGCTTGCAAGGAGTGCTGGGAAGAAACAGACCCCCCAAGGCTGAAAAATAAGTACTGGGGGGAAAATATAACTGATTATATAACTGACTTTTGCAACCTTTTTCTGTACAGGTATATATACTGACTTTTGCACCCTGTACCTGTACAGGTATATATACTGATTTTTGCGTGGGGTTTTGCCTCATTTTAAGCCGTTTTCTTGCCACGTTTCTTAAGGGAATCGCTCCAGTGGTGAGTGTCGAGTCGGTCATTAAGTAGATCTGGCTTCCCCACTTGATTTGGCTTGTCACAAGGGCGCAAAAGGGGGATCATATGACCTCAGGACACTGCAACCGTCACAAATGCGAATCAGTTGCCAAGAGTTTGGATTTTTTGACTGCGGGACCGCGGGGAGGCTGTGACAGCCGTAAGGGTGAAAAAGGTCCCCAATCACTTTTTTTCCCGTGCCGTTGTAACTTTGAATGGTCATTAAAAGAATCATTGTAAGTCAAGGACTACCTGTATTATTATTATTATTATTCCTAACTGGATGACTAAAAAAAAGTATCATTTTTCACTCAACTTTGGAACCATGAAATTATTGGGTGACGCCATGTGTTTAAAAATAACAGGAAATGACATTCTAAATATACTCTTTACTTTTCTGTGACATTGAATCTACAATCGACCTTGATATGGGTAGGTAGGTGAGAAGTAAGGAAGAATGAAAGAGAAGGGAGGCAGGGAGGAAGAGGAAGGGAGGACGGATGGAAGAGACGGAGAAGTAGAAGAGGGAGAGAGAAAGGAAGGAAGGAACAGGGGGTAAGGCAGAAGAAAGGATGGATGGATGGATGGAAGGAAGGAAGATGAGAATAGGAAAAGAAGGAAAGAAAAAAGAAAGAGAAGGGAGAGAAAGGGAGGAAGGATGGAAGAGAGGGAGAGGAAGAAGAGGGAGAGAGGGGGGAAGGAAGGGAGAGAGGGTAAGGAAGAAAGAATGGATGGATGGATGGATGGAAGTAAGTAAGTTGAGCACAGGAAAAAGGAGGAAAGAAAAAGAAAGAAAGTGAATTGAAACCTGCCTAGTGAACCTAAGTTGAAATAATTAAAGTAAACCTGCACCGAAGCTCAGCCGTTAGTGAGATCAAAGCCCCTTTGGTTCAAATCTTTTTAAACCGGATTATCTCTTTTGCAGCTTTCCTCCCCCCACCCAAAAAATCTGAGCTCCTCAAAAAAAAAAAGAAATGCACCTTCCAAGTTTTGGCAGAGGTGGGGGAAAAGATTGCAGCTTTTATCTCGCCAAGATTTAGGGTTGCAAACAGACTCGATGAGGTGTTGACCCCTCTTAGAAATGAATCTAAAAGAAGGCAAATGTCCATCAGTCAGTTCATTTAAATCAATTTAATTGATTTAATCAGGAGGAAGAACCCTTTCCAAAAATAAAAGAAACAAAAGAAAGCAACCCTGCCCACGTTACTATTTGCCTTGCCATGAAGACGATGTCTTTTTCACAAAGTCTATGTATTTTTTAAAAGAAATTAACTGATACCTTTGTTATCGGTTAATGTGTGGGGGGTTGTTTACTTATTTATTTAATTTTTTTAAGATTTATTTAAGATGATTAAGAGGTAGAAAGAGTTCCCTCTTTCCACACATAACTGTGGGCGATCTTAGTCCCGAAAACATACATGAGAATCATTGCCTAAAATACTTTTCAAATATTGAGAATAATTCAATGAAGGGGATGTGGACTGTAGCATTAGAATACAGACCACCCAATAACAGAGTTGGAAGGGACCCTGGAGGTCTTCTAGTCTAACCCCCTGCTCAGGCAAAAAGCCCTTGTGAGAAAGGGATAAAATTCAGGGTTTGTTTTTCCCTCTCCTCACCTGTCCATTTAGGTTGTCCAAGCAAAAGGAACGAAGCGCAGAAGATAAAGCTAAGAGCTTTACCCATCACGATGGAGAATTTCCTACCGGAGTGGCCCCTGTTAAGAGAACAAAATAAATAAATAAATCACACAGTTCAGAGTATACTTAGTTTTTTTAAAAATGTTTAAATTGAGATGGGATTTTTGAAATGAGGACATAAGAACGTGCGACGAAATTGCAAACCTGACAGATAAAAAGCGTGAAGCATAACGAATAGGAAGACATGAGAGTTATTTAAAGTTTAAGGAAATAGGTTGAAATGAATTGAAAAAAAAATTCATAGAATAAGCTGGAGGAAAGTGTTTGAGAAAAATAATAGAAAATACGTAAAGGAATGGCAAGGCATGAAACTAAGTGTGAAAGATGAGTCTGTAATCAAAGTCATGTTTGTATGGAAATGTGATCACCTAGAATTACGCTGTTCACTAAAAAAAAAGATGTTTTTAACTTTTTTTTTTTTTTTACTTTGAGCCACAAATGGAAAGAAATCCCAATTCCTGGAGTTTTATTCGATCACGCTTCCCTGTTCCTTCCCAGGTGGGAAGCTGAGCCTGGAAAGCGCACTGCAAAAACCCTTTCGAAGGGTAGGAAGGAGAGAGCGAAGGTTTTCCAAGAAGAGAACGAGAGAGAGAGAGAGAGAGAGAGAGAGAGAGAGAGAGAGAGAGAAGGTCTCACTTACCGTTGGCGGCACCTTCAGCGGAGGGAAGAGAGCTCCTGGACTGTGTCGGCCGAAGGCAGCCGGCGCTGATGAGCTGCTTGGGAGAAAAATGACTGCATCAATCAGCCACACAGTCCCACTTGGGAGAGGAGGAGTTGGAGGTGGGGAAATTTGAAGAGGGGAATTATTGTTCCCCCGTCCTCCGCCGGAAGGGGGTAGAGCGGTGCGTTCTCCTCTGCTTCGCCTGCTCCTTTCGGGCCAAAGCGGGTGTGAAAAATGTGGGGCGCCCTTCCCGTGTGCAGGTAAGGGAATGACAGGAGTTAGGAACAGGGGTCCTGGAGGCCTTCTAGTCTGACCCCCGCCCCCCCCCCCTTGCTCCAGCAGGAGACCCTGAGCAATGCCAGACCAACGGAGATCCAATCTTTTTCTGGGAAGCCTCCAGCGACGGGGCGGCCACCATTTCTGGAGGCCAGCCGTTCCCTGGATTCATTGATAGGATGGCGGAAGGGACCCTGGAGGCCTTCTAGTCGAACCCACTTGCTCAATCAATCAATCAATCAATCGGAAGAGAGCTGGAAGGGGCCTCGGAGGTCTTCTAGTCCAACCCCTTGCTCCAGCAGGAGACCCCAGGCCAGTGGTGGCTAAGCTTTTGGGACTCCTGTGCCAAAAATTGTGTGCGCACTTACACGCGCACACTTGTGCGTCAGCACCCAGAAGGCAGTGCGCCCCCCCCACGCGCCCCAAGCATGTGTGCGCAATCCCCACACACACACACACCACCGCCTTACCTGCACTGCGCCTCACTGCTGATTTTCGGCCGGTTTGAGGCCTTTTTCAGCCTCCCAGAGGCTCGAGGAAGGATTCTGCAGGCCGAAAACTAGGCCAGTTTCGTCACTTTCGGTATTTTCGGAGCAGAAAGTGGGGGGAGGGGGGATAGGAAGTGTCATGCCTCTGTTGGAGTCTGACTCCGAGGGAGAGGAGGAACAGCCGACAGGGAGTGGAAGTGGGGCTCCGGAGGTTGTGGAGGAGCCTGGGGAAGAGCAGAGACCGGCTGGGCAGTCAGAGGAGGACCCAGGCCCATTCCTTCTTCATCCTAGGGCATGCAGGGAGGAGAGGATAAGGGAGAAACGTGAACGGCATGGTCTACGGGGGAGGACATGGCCCTGATCCCCTTCATGGGCTGCAGCTGTGAGAACTGGTTAAAAGGACGGACATGCGTATGGGCCAGTGCTGGAAACAAAGCGTGAAAATATCTCTAGTTTATAGTTCCTCTCTGAGTTTGGCGTCCTTCCCAGGGTGTGTTCCGATATCTGTGGACGTCTTCAAGCCCTCATCTTGCCTGGTTCCCTTAGTTGCTTCAGTGTGGTTTGTGTTGTTTTTACTCTTTATGATTTATAGGCATTTTTAGTTTAAACGGCATTTCCTCCTTTTCGTAACTGTTTGTGGGGGAGTTTTTTTTTTGTCTCCAGTCAAGGGTGTTTGGATCTTTGAAGCAAAGTGAAGGAATAAAAGGGCCTTCACCTGTTTTTGTGACTGTGTTTATTTTGTATCCCACCCTGGGTCATCACAGGAAGCTTTAGGAAACAAACCAAACATTTTTTGTTAAGGGGAAACAACGCTGGTAATAGAGACCTTTCCGATGTACAATAGAATAGTATAAAGGCAGTGAAACCAGAAGGGTTACGAGCTTTGACCACCGTTGAATAATTCAGCATTCCTCAAAGCTTTAAAAGCTATCATTAATCTTGGCCTGTTTTCCACTTGAAGAACTATGAGCCCCACTATCCCTCATCTTTTTATTGTTTTAAAAAATTTACCGCCCCCTCCCCGGTTCAAAATGGAAATATTCCAGATCCACGCAGGGCTGGGAGAAGAAGAAGAACGCACAAAATTCAGGAATGCTGAGAGAGGAGAGAGAGAGAGAGAGTTACAGGCGTGGGAATCACAAGACGAAAATTATCCCACGTCACCAGTTTGAGTCTCCGTTGAGCCAGAAAAAGGTGAATTCCTGCGAAAATGCATCAACTCGGGGTAGGCAGGGGCCGAATTGAAAGGCCTGAGGTAAATTTCAAGAGGGAAGAATCTAGGTTTTTTTTGGAAAGTCGAGGAAGGCCTGCTTTCTGTGCAGGACAAAAGAACAACACCACACACACACACTCTTTGGGGAAAAGGAAAAAACAAAACCTTTCAGGGTGATGTTAAATGGTGAGTTGGTGCCTGGGGAATATTAATGAGAGATGCTTTATGGCTGGGACAATGCAGGACGAGACATCATACGCTCCGTTTTGCGGTTGGGAAGATCCTTTTCCAAGACTTCAAGGACGCTAGGAGGTTGGTAGCAAAAGTGACCGCAATTCTTGAGTCCAGGAACAGAAATGCATTTATTTATTGGTGTGGGGGGGAGGCAAAAAAGGAAGAATTCCAAGGAAACCAATCAACAAGGTGGGTCGGAGCCCAAAGGAAAACTTCCCTTTTGGATTGGAAGCCCGTTTGGATTGGAAATGGAAAAGCTATGTTTCTGGCCTGGCGGTTCCGACCCAAATCCATGGTTTTTAATCGATTTAACAGATGAACAGAGTTGGAAGGGACCTTGTAGGTCATCTAGTCCAACCTTTTGGACCTCAGGGACCACCAAACTCATCATTTTAAATCCCGTGGACCAGAGACCCTGGGAAAATCCCCCCCAAAAAAGTCTGCAGGAAAATCTCCCACCCGGTTCTGTGGGCGTGGCTTAGTTGGTGGGGGTGGCTTGGTGGTCAGGTGACTGGGTGGACATGGCTTGGTGGTCATGTTATTGGCTAGGTGTGGCCAACTCAATATCACTCACATCGAGGCACGCATCTCCTCGCCTGGCCTCTCGTGACTGTGGGGATGCTGCAACAGTCGTAAGTGTGAAAAATGGTCATAAGCCACTTTTTTAGTGCCATTGTAACTTTGAATGGTCACTCCACACAAGCAAAGTACCAGCAAAGGAGGGGGAAAAAAACTCCAGAGAAGTTCCTGAGTCAGGAAGTCTAGTCCTGCCAAGAATGTCATAAGGGTTAACGGAGAGGCAGTTTCTGTAAGCAACACCAGAATGTCTCCTTCCTGCCTTCCTTACAGGATTAGCCCAGTAATTTCTTCTAACAACCGGTTCTCCGAACTGCTTAGAAGGTTAACAACCGGTTCTAGCGAATAGGTGCGAACTGGTAGAATCCCACCCCTGCTCCTAACCTACTGTTGTCATTCTCTTCCCACCTGCCCTTCCCTCATTGTAACACTTCAATTTGACATAGATTAACACGTTAGTACTTACCGGCATCCATTGATTGGAGTTTCAGGATGCAACTGGAAACCTACGTCGATGGAAATGTGCCTTCAGCCCTCTTCATAGGTCTGGATTGAGGGGAGGATGCAAGTCAAGAAGTCTTGGTTCTTCCCAACCATCATCTTTCTCCACCGCGGGATTGTCTTCCAGCCCAGGTCGTGATCTCGTCTCTGGCGGTTCTCCTACAGCAGGGCTCTGCAACCTTAAACACTGAAAGAACCATCTGGACCCATTTCCCACAGAAAACACCAGGAGCCACAAAACTTGGGTAGGTGCGGTCAACTGAACATCACTCCCACCCAATCACATGACACACACACACACACACACACACACACACACACACTCGTCACACCTACCCAGGTTTTGTGGCTCCTGGTGTTTTCTGTGGGAAAAGGGTCTGTCTCTCTCCCTCCCTCTCATTTGTTTTTAGATTTTACCTAGGCCAGGTGAGGAGTGACTGGGAGGCGAGGGCAAGGGATGGGGCCAGCCAGTGGTGGGATCACCCAACAGGGAGCCAGAGCAGAGGGCCCAAAGAGCCGCATGCAGCTCCAGAGTTGCGGGTTGCTGACACCCGTCCTAGATACCTCTTAGAAAAACCAAACAGGAGCTCCTTCTTCCTTTAAAGACTCCTGAACTGAACTCGAGTGGAACGGAGGTTAACCAGAGAAAATACTCACCTTCAAAACAACTCAGGTCTGTGTGCTCCTTATATACTTACAGACTTAAGCCGCCTTGAGTCGCCATGGGCGAACAGGCGACAATATAAATCAAATGAATAAATAAATAAATACCTCATTTAAACATGAAGTTCTACAGAAGCCATCAGTCCACATGTCAACTCATAAAATATTTCTCTAGTCTTTTTAGAGTTGCCAACAGAAAGGGAGGGGGAGCAGTGCAGCAGCTTGGAAATCGAAAGTGCATTCCATAAATGTTTTTCAAAGATAGTAACTAGGTGACCGAAGTTTCTGCCGTGCAAAATTCTAACTGGAGAGCATGATTGATGACTCTTGGCTATGGATGTGTCCGTTGGAGAATATGATTTATGACATACCCAGGGGTGGGGGGAAACCAGGGTCAAGGATGACAATGAATGATGTGTCTCAGAGTCGGCTGCACCCAGGCAGTGCCGGACATGTTAACTCCCAATAAATCCTTTTTAAGTTTTGGAAGTTTGGCTCGAGAATATGATTTAAATGGGGGTAACTGCCAGAATCCTGACACCACGCAGCTCAACGTCATCAAACTTCACCACCAGCTGTTCTTTTAAACTAAGATGCTTTCATGGAAAATAAACCCATTCCCCCTCCACCCACCCCCGAGTTATTTAGAGTGTGAGTACTCATAGTGTAATTCTGACTACAGCACCTTTTTCCACCTCTGACTTGGAAGAAAGACATGCAATAGGAATATGACAACCATAAACGTCTGAGATTTGCTTGGAGCTGCGGACAAAGTACCCGAAGGCAAGTAGGTTAAATAATCTTTATTTTTCTGAAGTTGCATCAGGCAGTTTTACAAATAGATTTTAAATTATTTGTCTTTTAAAAAGAGGAAACCAACCAACCAACAACCAACAACGATGACAAAATCCATCCCTTGGCCTATTTCGTACTCTCCGACCACATGTTAACAAGAGCTAAAAAATAAAATTCCATTTATAGGATCTCTTAATATAATCTCTGACTTTTTTTTATCTTATTGGGGGGGGGGGGAATGGGATTTAGTATAATACATTAATTAGGCAAGGGGGAATCAAGCAAACAGAAACTCCTTTAAGAAGGAGTTTAATCTCCGGTTTAACTCCGAGCAGAGTTAAAAGTTTTCTGGTTTTCTTTTAAAGCATTGATTTATTTAAAAAAATATATCGCATGGAAGTGCAAAATAGACAAGCAATAAAACACCCAGAAAGACCATCTTTGGTGATTATGAACTGAGAACCTTCACCCTTTAAGTCAAACTTTGGAAACAAGAATGGGATTTCGAAAAGAGACATTGAATTCGCAAACGCCATAGCAACAAATGGGTTTATCTTAGGAAAAACGGAGTACAAAAATGCATCGGTTTAGAGAAACGCGCAAAGGAACCCATGCAATTTTTTGTGCAAACTTGTTTTTGTTTTTGTTTAAAAAAAAAATCTGAAAATGATGGGGAAAGAAACTTTGGGGCAAGAAGAAGGAAGTTCTAAAATAGAGAAGTTTATTCCTTTATCCTTAGCCGCTTATCACTGTTCCTGGTTGTTCTGAAGTCCCCACTAACTTGGTTTCTCCTAAAAATGAAACGGAAGTGACAGTGCAGATGGTAGAAGGGAAGGAGGGGAGGGAGAAGCATAGAGTCCTAGGGGTAAGAAGGGGGCCTTGGAGATCTTCTAGTCCAACCCCCTGCCCAAGGCAGGAGATCTTATGATACAGCCAAGTAAATTTGCATTATTCCAGGAGGAATGCTTTGGAAGCGCTCCTTTCTTTGGTTTTAATCCGGCAATTAGGGTGAGAAAGCAACTTGCAGGCTGGAGGGGAAGAAATAAGATCTGGGAAGGAGCTCTTTCCTCCCTCAAATAACCTGGCCTGCTCTAAAAGAAGAAAAGAGAAAAGAATATATTTCTGCAACGACTTGATAGGAGAAAGGACTCGGAGGGGAAAAAAAGAAAGGGAGGTTTTGCCAGGGCTTTGATTGGGTTTAGCAGGGGTTTCGTGCCAGTTTGAGGCACAAGGAGGTTGTGGGGGTGGACAGGTGGTAGAATTTACATTCGTTAATGAGGAAGATCACAGAAGCCTAGCCTGGAAGCCCCTGATGTGGGAAGAAGAGGGGCTACTGATCCTTTTGTCCGGGCATCAAGATCAAGGGATTTTTCTGTTTTAAAGCACGGGGCTCAAACCCAGCTGGAGAGGGGAGGTTACAAAAGGAAAGGAAACTTGGCAACAAGTTTTCTTTCTTTTCTTTCTTTTTTTCCTTCATTCTCATTCTTTCCTTCCTTCCTTCCTTTCTTCCTCTTCTTTCCTTCCTTCCATCCTCCTAACACATAGAGAAACCAAGTTGGTGAAGTCTTCTTTTAAAGGGAGGGATGGCTTCCTTCCTTCCTTCCTTCCTTCCTTCCTTCCTTCCTTCCTTCCTTCCCTCCTCTTCCTTCCTTCCTTCCTCCTAACACATTGAGAAACCAAGTGGATGACAGTCTTTTTTTAAAGGGAGGGATGGCTTCCTTCCTTCCTTCCTTCCTTCCTTCCGTCCTTCTTTCCTTCCTCTCTCTCTCTCTCTTTCTCTCTTTCTTTTTTCTTTCTTTCTTTCTTTCTTTCTTTCTTTCTTTCTTTCTTTCTTTCTTTCTTTCTTTTTCTCTTCTTTCCTTCCTAACACATAGAGAAACCAAGTGGGTGACAGTCTTTTTTTTAAGGGAGGGATAGTTTCCTTCCTTCCTATTTCTTTCTTTCTTTCTTTCTTTCTTTCTTTCTTTCTTTCTTTCTTTCTTTCTTTCTTTCTTTCTTTCTTTTCTTTTCTTTCTTTTCTTTCTCTTCCTTCCTCCTCCTAATACCTAAGTTGGCAATAGTCTTTCTTTCCTTCCTTCCTTCCCAATATCTAGAGAAACCAAGAACAATGCCCTCTGGCATACAGCTTCTAAAAATGTCTCCCAGGTTCTCATGCTGCTGGTTCGAAACCTTGCAAGTGGCCAAGGATAGAAGAAAGCCGTGGGGATTAGAGACAAGGAGGGAAACTCAGGGAGGATTTCGGACGTGGTCCTTGCCCCTTGGCCTCCTGGGCATGAATTAAGCTAAAGGCCACAACGGATGGCTGAGCCAACTGTTTGGGTGGTCTGCCCCGGGGGCTGGGGGAGAGGGGGCATAGAGGAAAGCAGGCGATAAAAAAGAAAAAAAAAAGAGAGGAAGAAATGGGACAATCGTGCAGCTCCTTGGACGTGGCTTCCCAGGGAACGCGGAGAAGGGAGGAACCTTCCCACCCTGGGAAAATCGGAGTTGCCCACTCCCCGTGATGCATGCTACAGGCTGCATTGCCGTTATTATTATTATTACAGTTTCTCACAAACATAGAGTAGTCCATTGGAGGAGGAGGAGGAGGAGGATGACTGTGGGGTCCTTGGTGCTCTCTGAGCTGGGTGGTTTTCTTGCAGACGTTTCATGACTCAAGTAAGGAACAGCATCAGTGCCAGAAGGGAGTGGACTTTACAAGGAGGAGGAGAGGAGGAGGAGGAGGAGGAGGAGGAGGAGGAGGAAGAGAGGAGGAGGAGAGGAGGAAGACTGTGGGGTCCTTGATATTCTCTTTCTTGCAGACATTTCATGACTCAATTAAGGAACATCATCAATGCCAGAAGGGAGTGGACTTTACAAGGAGGAGGAGAAGAGGAGGGGGAGGAGAGGAGGAGGAGGAGAGGAGGAGGAGAGGAGGAGGAGAGGAAGAGGAGGGGAGGTGGAGTGTCCTCCCTCATTGAACGAGGGTTTTCTTCACTAGGCACACACACACACACACACACACACACACACACACACACGTATACGCATGTGTATTTTAAGAAAACCAGGGAAAGGGGGACGGATGGTTTTGCTCCGACAGCAATGTAAACATCGATTCCTGGTTCAGCCCTTCCCACCATCAGAGCCTGAAGGTAAAGACGACTTCGGCCTCGGGGTTCAAGTCTGCCGGGTTCTTGAGTTGGGATGTAAACAAGGCAGGGGAAGCCGGGTCCGTGTACGGCCCCCCCGGAAAGCAGCAGGCTCCTTCGGGGATGCCCCGCTCCTCAATGCTCAGGGCCAAACTTTTGAGCTTCTGCCTCTCCTGCGCTTGCCTGGCCCGGTTGGCGATGTACCTCACCCTGCTCTGACTCCGGGAAGAAGACCTTCGGATCAGGACGGTCTCTTCCTCCTCCTCCTCCTCCTCCTCTTCTTCGCCTTCCTCCTCCTCCTCCTCCCCAGCCTTGGGAAGTTCCGGGCAGGTGGGCGAAGTGATGTCGTCCTCCTTCTGGAAGAAGGTGAGTTTCCTCAGGCGCTCCGTCAGTTCGTCTGGAGACCTTCCCAAAGTCTTGAAGGCCCCACGATGGCCGTGGGCCCTCACCGAACGGGTGGCGAAACTGCGGCGGATGCTCCGGTACTTGCTCTCCGAAGTGGACCGGATGTCGTCCGAGGTGAGGTCCCCGAGGCTTTTGGACTTCACGGGGTTGGCATCGGGGTTCCTCGGCTCTTCGGGCTTCGGGCAGGACCTCTTGAGGCTCTGCACGTACAACCGGTTCCAGGTGTGCCTTCTGGACGCCGAGGAGAAGCCGAGCGGCCTTGGGCGCCAGTCGTCTTCCACGGGTTGATCCAACCTCAAGTTGGGGTTGGACTTGCTCTTGGTCACCGTGGGGCCTTCGCGCCCAGAGGCCGCGTTGGCGGACCAGGGCCTCGCGGTTCTTCTCTGGGGGACGGCGTTCTGAGCGCCAAGGTCGGGAAGGCTCTTCCGGGCAAGGTTGGGCAAGGAGAGGTCGATGACGGTGTCATTGGAAGACATGCTGGAAGAGGACGACATGCTGTCCTGGTGGGCGCTGAAATCAAGCTTGCTCCAGATGCGGTCATGGACCGTGGCGTCCCAATAAACTTCCGGGGTAGGAGAACAGTTCTCAGGAGGCTTCAGGGAGACTCCGTGGTTGCACCGCTTGTAGCCTTCATCCCTCGGTCTCCTCACAACAGTCGGAGGCACGGGGATTGCGGCGGTTCCTTTGGGAGTTGTGCGAAGGGGAGTTGGCGTGGTGCTGTTGTCCCTTTCACTTTGGTTTGGTGGACCAACTCCAACTCTCTTCTTCTCATCGCTTGTCAGCCGTTGAACCAACCCGCCTGTCTTCTTCTGGCCATCTCCGGCCGGGTGGAGCTCACAATTGTCTGACACGAGGTGGTGCTGTACTTGAGGATGGAGAAGGCCTCCGTGGCAAGGAGCCCTTGTCCGACCTTCTCCTTCTTTGTTGCTTCCCATCCCGCCTTCCTCTCCCGAGACGCTGGGCGCGAGAAGCGTCTTCTCCGAAACCGTCCGGTGCTCCAAACAAGAAGTCCTCCCAAAGCGTTCCCTTCCGTCTGGAACAGCTTCCTGGGAAGGACGAGGCCCGGAGTCTTCTTTGGGGTCCCTGACGGGGCAGGCGGGCAGAAGGAAGTGGAAACTGGAAGGCTGGTTCTTGTTGGCAGCGAGGGGCTCTTCGTGGATGGTCTGGAGGCTGCGTAAGGACGGGGCCGACAGGTGCATGGAGAATCGGTGGATATCTGGAAGGAAGAAGGAATCCATGAATGAGTGAACACCCAATAAGTTCTCAAAGAAAGTGGCTTGCATGTCCTTGTGGTCCCATTTTGAGCTACGAGTTGGAAAGAGTTGGCCTACTTTGAGGGACACTTGTCAAACCCAGCCATCTCAATAAGGGAGAAGTAGGATCAGCCACGCCCGGCTCTTATCTTGGCACAGACAAACAGGCAACGGGCCAATCCCCTCCACATCTCACCCGCTCTGTTCTGGCATTGACCCAATTCTTGCTTTCTTTTCATTTTGTTTTAGCAAGGAGAAGAAGCACCCAGAGGTGGTATTCAGCCGGATCTGACCGGTTCTGGAGAACCGGTAGCAGAAATTGTGAGTCGTTCGGAGAACCGGCGAATCCCACCTCTGACTGGCTCCCGCCAACCCCATCTCTTCTCCGCCTCCCATTTAGTCCCAGCTGATTGGCTGGGTCTTCTTTGGTTGCCCTGCACAGGAGAACGGAGCTGGAAAGCAGGCTAGTGGGGTGGGGAGGGAAGGGGGATTTTGCAGTATATCCTTCCCCTGCCACGCCCACCAAGCCACGTCCACAGAACTGGTAGCACAAAAAAGGTTGAATCCCACCACTGTCTAGTCATGAAGAATGGAAAATGACAGAAACAAATCGTTGGATCCTGCAGTTACATAACCACGTGGCTATTACATCATATTTAACGAGAAAATATTAATACCTCAAATTAATATCTGAAAAGATAATTTACTTTGGGGTGGTTTTTTTTTTTTTTTTTAAAAAAAAGATAAGATTAATGTACTTTGGAAAGATAATAAACTATCACAAAATGTTGAAAAGAGAGTAACTGTTAAGCGCCCGGCCTATAGCTTGTAATATAAAACAAATATGTAAAAAAAAAAAAAAGATTGACAAAATATGCTACGTGTAAATACATTGAAAGGATTTGCAGGGCTTGGCCTAGACAGGAAACGCTGCAGGGCACATTAAGTTGGATCCTCCCCAGCTCTGCTCATTCAAAGCTCAGCGGGACTTGGGTAGGATTAACTAGGTCATGTGAACAACAGCCAGTCTCAGGGGAATGTATGGATTTTGCAACCCACGACGCTAGGATTCAGAGGCAGTCGTTCGGCAGCCATGCCCTGGGGGAGACGCGGCCATAACCGTGGGGCTAAATCGGATCCCCCCAGAGTATTTCGGTGATCGAGCACCTTCAATAGCGATAGCCCTTAGACTTATATAGTGCTTCGTGGGGCTGTGCAGCCCTCTCTAAGCGGTTTACAGAGTCAGCCTCTTTGCCCCCAACCATCTGGGTCCTCGTTTTACCCACCTCGGAAGGAGGGAAAGCTGAGTCGACTTGCCTGCAATACCGCATTGCAACCACTGCATCACCAGGGAGGGAGGGGGAGAGAGAGGGGGAGGGATAGATAGATAGATAGATAGATAGATAGAGGCAGACTAGAGAGAGAGAGGTATGCATGGATGGATAGATATGGATGTAAAGAAAAGAGAGACACACACACACACACACACACACACAGAGAGAGAGAGAGAGAGAGAGAGAGAGAGAGAGAGAGAGAGAGAGAGAGAGAGAGAATGAATAAAAGAAAGAAATAGAGAAGGAAGGAAGGAAATATAGATGGATGGATGGATGGATGGATGGATAGATAGATAGAACAGAGGCAGACAGACTAGAGAGAGAGAGGGATAGATAGAAAGAGATAGATAGATAGATAGATAGATAGATAGATAGATAGATAGATAGAAGACAGACAGAGAGAGGGATGGATGGATAGAAAAAGGAAGAGAGAAAGAAAGAAAGAAAGAAAGAAAGAAAGAAAGAAAGAAAGAAAGAAAGAAAGAAAGAAAGAAAGAAGAAAGAAAGAAAGAAAGAAAGAAAGAAAGAAAGAAAGAAAGAAAGAAAGAAAGAAAGAAAGAAAGAAAGAAAGGAGGGAGGGAGGAAGGATAGATAGATATAAATGGAAGAATAGATGGATAAGTTGCTAGGTAAAGATAGATAGATAACCATAGATACATGATATAGATACATAATAAAGAGAGGTAAAAAATTAGATGGATGATAGATAGATAGATAGATAGATAGATAGATAGATAGATAGATAGATAGATAGATGGATGGAAGGAAGGAAGGAAATATAGATGGATGAATAGATAGAACATAAGAGTCAGACAGACTAGAGAGAGAGAGGGATAGATAGAAAAATATAGATAGATAGATAGATAGATAGATAGATAGATAGATAGATAGATAGATAGATAGATAAATAGATGGATGGATGGATGGATGGATGATAGCACTAGCAATAGCCCTTAGACTTATATGCCGCTTCACAGTGCTTCCGAGCCCTCTCTAAGCGGTTTACAGAGTCAGCCTATCACCCCCAACCATCTGGGTCCTCATTTGACCGACCTCCGAAGGACGGAAGGCCGTAGAGAAAGTGAGAAAGCAGGCAAAGGAAAGAACCCCGAAAGAAGTCTTCAGTTACCTGGGACTGGATCATCCTTTCAATTCTTAACTACGCGGTGAAAGAGGGCACAAGGAAAAGGAAAAAAGAAGGAAAATTAAAAAAAAACCAAGTTAGTTCAGGGACAGAGAATAAATTAGGAAAAGGAAGCCGAGGAAACAAGACTAACTGAACATGCAGATCCTGAGAATTCGCTTTCGACCAACCAGGAGAAGCTTAAGGGAAAGAATGGGAGGGGGGGAATGTCTGCCCATGAGGGACAGGATTATGGGTAATGACGTAGGTTGCCAATCTGTTGAAACGGGAATGAAGGATTTCGGAGCTGGAAGGGACCTCGGAGGTCTTCTAGTCCAACCCCGTATTCTACTGCCATTCAGTCAGAAATCCCCCGGGGATTCTCTGTGTTCAGAGGGGGGGGAAAAATCCTATTTGAGCTTTTTATTTCAAAATAGGTTTTATTGGCATGATGGGATTTGGTTCTCAGACATCAGGAGGGGTTCCATATTTGGAAATACCTACTCCAGAGGCCATTAAAACAGGGGAAATACTATCGAGCTGATATAAACCAGGATTTTCTTTTTCCTTGCTTTCTTTCTTTCTTTCTTTTTTTTAGAAATAAAGCATTTTATTTGTTAAAATTGTCATTAGTGCAAGGAGTCTTAAACCAAAACATCATATTTACATGTTCATACTAAGTTAAGCAAATAACAGAGTGAGGTTCTTTGGTAGTTTTAAATTGAGAGTAAGGCAAATAAAAATCCGCCACTGCTCTTCGACCAAGCTAGTCAAACCTAGAAAAAAATGATTGTCTACAGTACTATTTAAATATATCTATTTGAAAAAGGCTGTAAAACTGGCTTTTCACAATGAAACAAGTTACAGAATCAGTTTTTTTTAGGAGGCTGACAGATTTCCATTTCTCCTGGAAGATATTCCATTAGGGAATAATAATAATAATTATTATTATTAATAATAATAATAATAATAATAATAAGTCCCGTGTGTGTGTGTGTCACATTTTGTGACCTTTTGACAAGTAAAGTCAGGGTGGGGGAAGCCAGATTCACTTAACGACCACATTAGGAACTGAACCATGGCAGGGATTCACTTAGCCACGGTGGCAAGGAAGGGTTAGGGTTAAAATGGGGTGAAACTCACTTAACTGATGTTGCTACTTAGTGACCGAAATGCTGGGGTCAACGGTGGTCACAAGTCGAGGATTACTCCTATGATAGAGAACTCAAGGAGCCAGGACACAAGGCCGGGGAGGAGTTAAATTTTGGCTTTCCGTGAGGTAGTTACTCTGGTTGGACGAGAAACGGTTCTTAGGATCGCACCCAATGGAACACACAAAAAAGGAACACCACAACAACTCGCAAAAAGAGAGGAGATGGGCTGGCATGCAGGGGAAGTCACTACTTCGCTATGGTGAAAGCCCCCCAGCGGAAATGAAATGACAACACCATGCTTGGTCACTAAGGGAGGACGACGGTCAAGCGGCCAACCCCACACTGACAACCGGGGAACGAGGAGCGCGGGATGTTTCTACAGGGAGGCGATGATGGTACGGATCTGGAATGGAGGGTCGGGCGTGGGAGATCCGATCTTACCGGTGAAGAATATAGGGGATTTACTCCGAATTTCCTCCATTTTCTCAGAAAACAAGGCATTCATTTCCCGCTGGAGGGTGCCCGCCTGTTTGCGGGCGCTCTCCGGCCAGCCCTGGGAGAAATCGGGGCTCTCGAGGCTGTCTAGACTGCTGGAGCTGGAGGACACCGAGCCATTGTTGGAGCTCACTAGGTTGACGGTGCTGCGGTATTTGCCGCTGGGGGGTGCGCGCCACCGCCGCCACGACCGGTCCTTGGGCCCGAGACATGCCGAGTCCCCCTTTTTCATCCCCGAGGCCCCAAAGGGCTGGCAGGTTCTGGGCAGGCTCCTAGTAGCCCCGTAGCTGGTGCACAGGTGCAGCTCGGAGCGGGCGTGGGGCTGTTCCTGGATCCCCCAAGGTTTCAGCTCCGCCCGCTCCTCACCCTCCAAGCTGCCACAGCAGCCGTAGTGGGGAGCGTCGCTGGAGGTGGGCTGGCCGGCGCCGGGCTCGCTCCACTGGCCCTCCACCTCCGGGCTGTCGCTGGAGCCGAGCACACACTTCATGCAATAGGTAGCCATGCCCATCCTACCCGGTTCGATGCAGGTGAAAAGGCCTTGTTTCTGCCCGGCGGGTTCTCGGAGGCAGATCCGGCTCGATCTCCGGATGGGTTCGCTGAAGGTGGCGTCCTGGTACCCCTGGCCGCCTCGCCTTTGCTCTCTGCCCCAACTGTGAGCCTTACCTTTGGATCCCTTGGGGTCCCCTGCCATGCCACCGAGACCCTCTCGGGAAGGCGATGGCGCCGGGGACAGGAGGTCGGATTCCTGGTCAAAGCGAGGGTGGGAGGAGTCTTCCAGAGCGGGGACCTTGCCGTCACCTTCCGAGCTCTCGTCTCGGGCATCCAGGGCGATCTTGGGCTTTTTTAAGCTCTTGGTGGGCGCGCTGGCCGTCCGCCGTAAAAGCTGACTGCTAAAGGAATGTTTGCGGTTGAGCTGACCAGCAGCATGGCTGTCGAGAGAGGCCTGCTTTGGACTTCTGAGAAAGAGGCTTTTTAGGCCCAGCGCTGGTTTGACCTGCCGGGGGGGAAGGGGAGGGGGGGAGAGAAGGAGAAGAAGGAGAGAGAAGCCATAACAGAGCGGGTAATGTTTCTTCCCCGGGGTGTGGCGACAACCGAAATGAAACCCGGGCCACACACTCGGTAGCCGTAGGGCGAGATTCAGGGTAGCCTCAGCTAATCCCGGTTGGACTGGAAGGACAGAATGGGGAGGGAAGAGAGAGGATGGTTTCTGGACCTCACAGCTGGGTTGATTCCCCTCCCCCCTTCCCCAGATGCTCCGTTTCCATTTCCTAACTAAATGACGGTGTATGTCCCCCGGGACCACACACCCAATCGCGTGTTGGAACATGTCTAGCATCGGGGGTCCTTGGTGGCTTTCATGGAGATGTTGCATTACCCAAGTAGGTAACATCATCAGTGGGAAGAGGAGGAGGAGGAGGAGGAAGAGGATGTAGTGGGCTGTGGGGATCCCTCGTGCTCTCTAAGCTTGGTTGCTTTCTTGCAGACGTTTCATGACCCAGCTATGGAACATCATCAGTGTTAGAAGGGAATGAAGTTGGCTCTCTCTCTCTCTAAGCTTGGTGGTTTTCTTGTAGATATTGCATTACCCAAGTAGGTAACATCATCAATGCTAGGAGGAGGAGGGAGGGGAGGAGGAGGAAGAAGAGGTAGACATGGGGGTCTTCAAACTTGACAGCTTGAAGACTTGCGGACTTCAACTCCCACAATTCCTCCTCCAGTCATGTTAGCTCAAGGATTCTGGGAGTTGAAGTCCACAAGTCTTAAACTTGCCAAGTTTGGAGACCCTTGAAAGTAGACTGTGAGGTCCTTGGTGCTCTCTGAGCTTGGTGGATTTTCTTGCAGACGTTTCATGACCCGGCTAGGTAACATCATCAGTACTAGAAGAGATTGGCTCTCTTTATCTACTGGAGCCGTGATGGCGAACGTATGGCACGTGTGCCACAGGCTGCACACAAGCTGCAGGCAAACTTACCTCACTGCGCATGCGTGCACCTCCCAGCTGATTTCCGGCGGGTTTGAGGCCTTTTTCAGCCTCCCAGAGGCTCGAGGAAGGCTTCTGCAGGCTTCTGAAAGCTTTGCAGGCCAAAAACTAGGCCCGTTTCGTCACTTCCGGTATTTTTCAGAAAAACAGGAAGTGATGAAACGGGGCTAGTTTTCGGCCTGCAAAGCTTGCAGAGCCTGCAGAAGCCTTCCTCAAGCCTTTGGGAGGCCCAAAAAGGCCCTCAAACCAGCTGTGAGGCGCAGTGCAGGCAAGGGGGTGGCGGGGGGATTGCGCGCGCATGCGTAGGGGATGTGGGGAGGCGTGCATTGCCTTCTGGGTGCTGGCACGCGAACACAGGAGCCCCAAAAAGGTCAGCCACCACTGTACTAGAGGCTCGCCGTATATAAATAGAGAGCCAACCCTTCTCCCTTCCAGCACTGATGATGTAACCTAGTTGGGTCATGAAACGTCTGCAATGAACACAACCCGGCTCAGAGTGCACCCAGGATTCCAAAGTTCAACCCTGAGTTGTTGTTGTTATTATTATTATTATTTAAAAACTAAGTGATTGGCCACCTCTTCATTGCTTTTGTCACGTAGGGCACCCATAACATAATTTAAGATATTTGGGCAGAACATAAAAGGATAATTGTCAAGCTGGCCACAACCCTGTACATAGACAGATAGGCTGCAAAAAAAACACCCAGCAAGAAATCCCTCACGTACAACATACACAGATCGTGGAAGAGGGGGCTTCCACCCCATCCCCCCCCCCCCCCAAAAAAACAAGAACCCCCCCCCCCCAATTGATGGAATGCAGTGGGGTGTAAGTGATATTTCTTCCCCCCCTCCCTTCCCATCAGACCCTTCGAGGTCACTGGATGCATCCCCCCCGACCCCGACCCCGGCGAGGCTATTCACTGACGCTTGAATCCAAGCAAGCGATTCAAGATCCCAAATCCGGGTGCAAATTTGGTGGGAAGGAAAGGAAGCCATTTAAGAAGAAGATCCAGCATGTCCGTTCCTGGGGGATCCCAGTCCCAGGAATTGGGTCCCTTAAGCGGAGGGGGGGGGAGGGGACAAATTGCAGGGGTTACGTTTAGGGGGTGTGGGTGCCCTTGGCTCAAGATAGGGCAGCTGTTATTGGGTTCAGAAGGAAAAAAATACCCATCCCTCCGTTGAGAGGGAGGAAGGGAAGGTAGCCCTTGACTTACAACCGTTCACATAGTGACTGTTCGAAGTTATGACGGCCCGGGGAAAAAGTGACTTAGGATCATTTTTTGCATTCCCATGGTCATAGGATTGAAGTTCAGATCCTCGGCAACTCATCATCTTTTATCCTCCTTTAACGGCCCCGTAATCCCTTGTGGGATGGAGTCGGGGCAACTGAATGGAGCTGAGTGCTTACTGCCCTTCCTGTTGCCGATGAGGAGTTTTATTCAGCAGATATATTCTCATTGTGCCCAAGGAGAGAAAGATCTGCCTCTACTTAGACTCTAACAGCCTCCTGATTGTTGAGGTGACAGCTCCGCCTCTAGGCCACCATACCACTCTAGACCCTTGGCAACCGACTCCTACTTATGACCGTTGCAGCACCCCCAGGATCAGGGGATCAAAATGCAGGCACTCGGCAACTGACTCATATTTATGACCCTTTGCCATATCCCAGGGTCACGTGATCCCCTTTGGCGCCATTCTGACAAGCAGAGTCAACGGGGGAGGAAGCCAGATTCCGGCTTAACAACCGTGTGACTAATTTAACAGCGGCGGTGGTCCGCTTAACAACCGTGGGAAACCCGTGTATAACGGGAGAGGGAGGGGCAAAACTCACTATACAGCCGTCCCGCTTAGACATTTTGAGCTCAGCTCTGATTGTAAGTCGAGGACTACCTGTTGAACCGGGGAGGGATAGTTTAAAAAAACAACAACACACACACACACACGACAACATTGGAGAATCCTGGATCTGCTTCATAAACGTGGGAATAATCTACAGGTTTGATGGCTCAGCCAAACATTCCGGGGAAATGTCGCAATCCATGTTATATGAGTGGAAGTTTTGGGTTGGGGAGGTGTGTGTGTATGTGTGTTGTGGTTGTTGATTGTTGGTGGATTATTTTTTTTCCCAGGAGGAGGAAAAAAAGAAAAGAAAAGAAAGCTAAATCAGGAAAGAAAGACACACACACACACACACATAAAAAAATGTTTCATGATGTTTTGGGGTGGACGGAAGCATGCAAGCATCGTGATGCTCCCAACAGCTCATTCCACCTTCCTGGGTTGGCGAGGAAGGGAGGAAGGGTACCTTCGAGGCGTCTACATTTGCTCTGCTTCTAAAAGGAGGCTTTTTGGGAGGGACACAGAGAAGAAGACCACTGCAATCACAAAGAGACAGAAGGAAAAGGCAGAAAGTGAGACACGGAGGAGGAACAAGAAGAGGAAGAAGAACAAGCCGAGATTGTCCCTGCGAGACATTTAGGAGTCACATGTGAGAAATCAGACAAGTAACATGGATAAACTATAAAAGGGATGCGGAGAGAGGGGAGGGGAGGGAGAGAGAGAAAGAGAGAGAAAGAGAGGGAGAGAGAGAGAAAAAGAGAGAGAAGAGAGAAAGAGAGAGAAATGAGAAAGAGAGAGAGAACAAGAGAAAGAAAGAGAAAGAGAGAAAGAGAAAAAGAGAGAGAGAAAGAGAGAGAGAGAGAGAGAAAGAAAGAGAGAGAGAGAGAAAGAGAGAGAGAGAGAGAGAACAATAGAAAGAAAGAGAAAGAGAGAGAGAGAGAGAGAACAAGAGAAAGAAAGAGAAAGAGAAAGAAAGAGAGAGAGAGAAAGAGAAAAAGAGAGAGAGGAAAAGAGAAAGAGAAAAAGAGAGAGAAAAAGAAAGAGAGAGAGAAAGAAAGAGAAAGAGAGAGAAAGAAAGAGAGAACAGAGGGGAGCAAACAGGTGGAGTTTGACATTATTCAATCCCCCCCCAAGGAATGCAGAAAAAAACGAGCAGAAAAAGAGTGAAGTGGCTTTCCGAGCAAACCAGATAATTCTTTAAAAGTCTGTCTCTTTGCAATAAAGAGGGACCCCCTTCCCAATTTGCACAGCTATGCACTTTGAAAGTTAGGGAAGTGCTGAAAAATGATTAATTACCTGCTTCTGAGAACTTAGGTACAGATTAACAGAGTTGGAAGGGACCCTGTAGGTCATCTAGTCCAACCCCCATCCCACCCCCCGCGCGCAACAAAGAGACCCTACACCATTTTTGACAGATGTCAAAATTTTTGTCCAGTCTTGGTGGGGGGTAGGAGGGGAGAAACTACAGTTCCCATAATTCCCATGGGAAGGAAAAAGGTCCATTCCGGGCTCCCAAACCAATTTCTTTTCTTTTTCCTTTGGTCCAGGATCAGGGCTAACAGCTCTCTTTTTTTTCTTTCTGGGGTCATTTTAATTCCCCTTCCTGCCGTGATGCTAGTTGCCAATGTGGACTTTTTATTTATTTTATTTTTTTTTGCAGAAATCGTTGCAGAAGGGTGTTCCATACCAAACTCAAATCATGAACGGGTGAAAAGTCCCCTTTTCTGTATAATTAAATTTTTACCGAGAATTATTGAGTCTGTCACCTGCACCTCTACAATTGTCTGGTTTGGTTCTGCAACCCCAACAGGACAGACACAGACTCCAGAGAGGAATTAGGACTGCAGGAAATAGCAATTGCTACCAACCTGCCTCCCATGGAGGATCTGTGTCCTGCACGAGGCAAAAAGAGGGCTGGGAAAATATCTACAGACCCCTCACACATCCTGGACATAAACTGTTTCAACTCCTTCCCTCAAAACGACGCTGTAGAGCTCTGCACACCAGAACAACAAGGACGGTTTTTCCCAAAAGCCATCACTCTGCTAAACAAATAATTCCCTCAACACTGTCCAACTATTTCCAAAGTCTGCACTACTATTACTATTAACCTTCTCATCACTCCTTATCGCCCATCCCCTCCCACTTGTGACTGTACGACTGTAACTGACTGT